TATATTTCTACACGACTTACATTCAATAAGGCCTTCTTTTCTTAAATTCGCACTAACATGTTCAACATTTTTTTGTGCAAGGACAAACGGCGCATTATTTATGCATTCAAACAAACACTCTTCAGTTACTGCATTTTTTGCAAAAAACTTCACAGGATATCTAGACATAATTTTTAAAATACAAAGCTACGATTTTACTGCAAATAAATGTGATTCCTTTAATTTGGCTTCACTTGAATCTGAACAATTTTCGACAAACTTTTCCAGTTCGGTAAGGGATATCTTCTACACCTATTTTACTTATTTTGCAGTTCCTTCATAGTATAATCAGCATTAACGTGCAGTTTGGTTCTCTCTTTCGTAATAGCATAGGAAATTCCTTCGATATAAGACTACACCCAATTATCCCAAAATTAATGGCCATTTCCCTTAATAAACCTAACTAAAATGACGATTTAACTAACTAAAAGGCTTTCGCAGAATTCAGTAAACTGAATGAATCAAAAGTGTTACTAAATATACGCTAAAGTACCTAGTCAAATTTCATCATGAAAATTGCATGGTATTTGGCGGCTACTGTACATAGGAAAGTTCACTGAGCCGTCGCCGTCACTTTTCCCAGCCACCGTCTTGACCGGTCAATGAGCGTAGCCGCTGATATACCTAATGCTTTCCCCTCCGCGTACTATGCCCAAGACTCGGCTCCCCAAACACACCCAGCGGGTTTTACACAAAAGAGGGGGTTCGTCCTGTCTGACTTAAGCCAGCTGTGACAGCCAATTGTTTCTATGCACGAGACACTTTGTCTTGAGTTGACCATTTGTTTGTGCATCAGAAGAAGGCGTCCGCCCATAAACGCGAAGGTAGCGGTGTGGTGATTACGCGGGTCTGAAGTCTGTGTGTGTGTGTGTCGGGCCAGTTGTCTCACCGCGTCAATCCTATCTCCGCACGATGACTGACGCCGGTGTCTGTCCAGTTGATCAAACGTCTGGTTGTTTTTTCCTCTTTATTGCGTCATCTCGCTCACACATTTATGAATTTTCCCTTTTTTCTTCTTCCAACGTTAGGTGTCGGTTACAAGCGCCGCTTTACGGTGCAGGGTCTATCGGAGCATTCGGCAGACAGAGAAATGATTGAAGAGAAGAATATTTCTGTCGCGGCATACTTTGAGGAGAAATATGGTATCAAACTTAAGTATCCGGAATTGCCCTGTGTAAAGGTTTGCACTACTACTCCATTAAACAACTTTTCTGTAGACCAAGAAGGACAGGAAAGATTTCGTACCAATGGAACTACTGATAGTGTTGCCCTACCAAACCGCCAAGGCTGACAAGGGTGACATCGCCAGTGA